GATTCTGTGTGTGTGTGTGTGAGTTAGGCAAGCAAAAGAGGGGTGTCTGTGAGTGAGGGTGGCTGGGGGGGGTGCGGCCCTCGGGGTGGCTGCGAGGCGTAGATAGCGTTGTCAGGCAGAGAGCTCCTGATGAAGAGGAACTTGGACTTCACCTCCACCAACCCCAGAGAACCACCGAGACCAACCGTGTCCCTCTGCGTCGTTTCCCACCACTCCGCTCAACCTATGAGATCTCCTTGTTGCTCTATAAAAAGAAACCCCTGCTGAGGCAAAGCGCCATTGCGCCCAGCATTGTACGCTTTGCTCCACTGACTTTGTCTCCAATAAAACATTTTAAATATATGTGGGCTTGTTTCTCACAACTGGGGGCTCGTCCGGGATGACAGAAGCCTCACTGCCATGGGGCTAGAGGATCCTGAATGGAAGGCACGCCCCGCTGATTTCAGCAGTCTCTTCGGTTCCCTCCGGTGCCATTGCACGTCGACGGTAATGATCCTGGCAGGGGATTCGTGGACCAAAGAGGGGGAGCCTCCCGGGAGACCGCGGCAGCCATTAAACCTTGCGCACAAGACCCAGGTGAGAACAGAGGACTGTAAGTGCCATCCAGGTGGCGGCATAGGGGGAGGACTGAAAGGTGTGTGTGTGAGACATGAGGTGCCAGGTTGCACTTGTGAAGTGATTGTGGAGTGTTTCTAACTGTGGTTCTGTACTCCTGTGAGGGTGGTGGCCGGTGAAGAGACAAAGCGAGTGAAAAGGAGTGAATGGCTCCCTCGGGGAAAAGAGAACAAGAGACTGAAAGCTGGAAAGTTGAGTTCCGGGGATAAGAGGGAGCCAAGCATTGCCATTCCCCACGCAGTCCGTTAGGGAAAGGCTGAAAAATGGGACAGGAGACGGGAAAGCTTAGTCCCAGGAAGAAAGGGAATAAGAAATGAACAGTGGGTATCCCATTGGACAGGCCATTAGGAGTGAAATTAGCAAACTTGGGATTACAGCTCATGTACCAGGGGAAAGGATAATGTCAAGATGGTGAAATATTGTATGTTTAAATGGACCTATCAGGGAAGATTCAGTGTAAAGGCCAAAATATGGATTGGATGGGAATTGGATTTGTCAAGCTCTTAATATTTACGTTAATTCAAATGAACCATTTAATCAAGAAGAGAGTGAATATGCCTTGTGTTGGAGGGGGCTGGGAGAAGTTGAGATTTTTAATTTGAAGCAAGAGGAGCAGGTTGAAGAAGGTAAAAGAGAGAGGAAGGAAAGGAGATGGGACCCTTTGGATTACTTATCCCCCCCCATATAATCCTGCACAGCCAGAAAATCAAGTGATGCAGCAGGAAGATGTGGGTGAGGAGGCAACCATCCTGTCCCAGTGTCACAGTGAGGAGGCCCCTGTTGCTAAAATCAGACCTGAAACACGGCAGCGACGAAGGGGGAGGAATCAGTTAAGGGTCACAGAAAGGGAGCAGGGGTAGCCTGGGGTTTATCCCTTGCGAGAAGTTCCGATGGTGGGAGTTCAAGGGAGGGTAGGATTTGTGAATGTGCCGCTTACTGATGTAGAAGTGAGGGCGTATAAGAAAGAAATGAAGAAGTTGTTAGAGGATCCTGTGGGGCTGTCGGAAGAGATTGATCAGTGTTTGGGACCCAATATATATACATGGGAGGAGATGCAGTCGATTATGGGAATCCTTTTTTCCCCTGAAGACAGACAGATGATTAGAACGGCGGGAATGTGGATATGGGAAAGAGAAAATCAGCAGGGGATACCCGGAGAAGAGAAGCTCCCCGTAACCCCTCCACAGTGGAGGGGAGGAGACACATGAGTGACTATAGGTCATTAATAGTGAAAGGAGCCAAAGAAGCAGCTTCGAGAGGACAGAATGCGAGTAAGGCCTTTGATGGTCAGCAGGGGAAGGAGGAAACACCCACTGAGTGGTTGGAACGGTTGAGGCGCAATATTCAACAATATTCAGGAATAGATTCCTCGAGTGTGGCAGGGCAGGAATTACTTAGGATGAACTTTGTGACTCACTCATGGCCAGATATCAAGAAAAAGCTAGAGAAAATAGATGATTGGCATAATCAGAGTTTGAATGAACTCCTGAGAGAAGCACAGAAAGTGTATGTTAGGAGGGATGAGGAGGAGGCTAAAACTAAAGCTAAAATTATAGCCGCACAATAAGCTGTTAAAAATAAAACCAGGGTATCTCAGAGGGGAAATTTCAAATTTGAAAGAGGCACAGGAACAAAGGGGAAAGTAGGACCAAGAGAAGAGGCACCAACAGCCAGAGAAGTGACAAGGGGATGTTTCTGTAGTGGGAGGGAGGGGCATTTTAACTGAGAATGCCCCCAGAGAGCACATGACTTGCTGGTGTTTAAAGAAATCCAACAGGATGAGGGTGGTAATTGCTAGGGGTGTCAGGGGCTCTATCTCCTTGGGGGTACATCAAAGGAAGAGCCCTTGATAAATTTGAAATTAGGACCCCAGAAGGAAAATTATGTATTTTGGTAGACACTGGTGCTGAAAGAACATGTATAACTAGATTACAGCTAGGATGTAAAGAAGGAAAAAATATAACCTGGGTTGTAGGGGCTAAAGGCCAAGGGTTTTCAGTCCCAGTTATAGAGAATGTGTTAATACAAGGGGAAGATCAAGATGATGTTAGTGATTTGTTGTTAGTACCAGAGGCAGGATGTAATGTGCTAGGTAGCGATTTACAAATACAGTTAGGAATAGGTGTGATGCCTGATGAAGGAAGAATGGTGGTTAAACTACTAGAATTATGGGAGGAGGATGAGAGGAAGGTGAAACCTGAGGTTTGAGCCAAGGAAGGGAATCGGGGAGGGTTGAATATTTCCCCAATTAATGTAAAAATAGCAGATGAGTCACTCCCTATCAGGGTAAAACAATATAATATACCAAGAGAAGGGAGAGAAGGACTTAAACCAGTGATCGAATCCTTAATGCAGGATAGCACCCTTGAACCTTGTATGTCTTCCCATAACACTCCTATACTTCCAGTAAAGAAAATGCATGGAACTTATCGGCTAGTCCAGGACCTTAGGGAAGTAAATAAATGAATGAAAACCCGTCATCCTGTAGTACCTAATCCGTATACCCTATTGAGTAGGATCCATCATGATCATGGGTGTGGTAGATTCGTGATAGATTTAAAGGATGCATTTTGGGCCTGCCCCTTAGCTGAGGAAAGTAGGGACTTGTTTACCTTCGAATGGGAGGATTTGGAAACAGGCAGGAAACAGCAGCTAAGGTGGATTAAGCTACCCCAGGGATTTACGGAGTCCCCAAATTTGTTTGGACAGGGATTAGAGGAGATATTGCAACAGTTCCAGGCTCCTCCTGGGATCCAGGTCCTACAATATGTGGATGATCTTTTGGCATCTGGACCAACAGAGGAAGCTGTGAGAGCAGCGTCAATTGAATTATTGAATTTCTTAGGGGAAAAGGGCTTAAGAGTGTCTAAAAGGAAGCTACAGGTTGTTCAAGAAGAGGTTAAATATTTGGGGCATTTGATAAGTGAGGGGAAGCGTAAAATAAGCCCTGATAGGATGACGGGAGTAGTTTCTTTGCCATTGCCTAAGATGAAGAGAGAAATTAGAAAATTGCTAAGACTCTTGGGTTATTGTAGGTTGTGGAGTGAGGGATATACACAAGCTGTTAGATTTTTGTATGAAAAGTTGTTGGAAGAAGGGCCGGTCTGTTGGGCGGAGTCAGAAAGAAACAATTAGAGGAGCTGAAAACATAAGTTAATTACAGCTCTGGTATTGGGGCTTCCATCTTTACACAAACCATTTTACTTGTCTGTAAATGCGGAGAATGGAGTGGCTCATGGAGTGCTGGCTCAGGATTGGGGAGGGCAAAAGAAACCAGTGGCTTATCTCTCAAAACTGTTAGATCCTGTGAGTCGAGGGTGGCCGACCTGTCTACAGGCGGTAGCTGCCACGGCGATTTTGGTAGAGGAGAGTAGAATATTGACATTTGGAGGTGATATCATGGTACATACCCCACACATGGTAAGGAGTGTGTTGAGTCCGAAAGCTGGAAGGTGGTTAACAGACTCTAGGATGTTGAAATATGAAGCAATACTGATGGATCAGATAGATCTCACACTAGTGACAAATCAAAATGTTCATCTCTCACAGTTTCTATATGGGGAAGATGTTCAGGAACCAGAACATGACTGTTTGGATTGTATTAGCTATCAAACAAAAATAAGAGAAGATTTACTAGATGAACCTTTGCCCTATGGAGAAAAACTATTCATTGATGGGTCCTCTCGATGCCTAGAAGGGAAAAGAATATCAGGTCAGGCAATTATTGATGGGCAGAAAATGGTAGTGTGAGAAAAAGGGAAATTACCTGCTGGGTGGTCAGCGCAAGTTTGTGAACTCTATGCCCTGAAACAGGTGTTGATATATTTGAAAGATAAGGAAGGGACAGTGTACACAGGCTCAAAGCACACATTTGGAGTGGTCCACACATTTGGAAAAATATGGTAAGAAAGAGGACTTATAAGTACGAAAGGGAAGGAGCTCGCACATGAGCAGACAATCAGAGAAGTTTTAGAAGCCCTGAAGCTCCCTGCAGAAATTGCGACTGTGCATGTAAGAGGACATCAGAGGGGAGCATCAAGGGAAATAAGGGGGAGTAATTTAGCAGATCAAGCAGCCAAAGCAGCAGCTACAGAGTCACCAGCAGTGGTTTTGCTGGTAATAGCGCCAGGGGATTATGAGAATTTAGACCCGAATTTCACAGAACAAGAGGAGAAGGAAATACTTAAAATAGGGGGTGAAAAAGATCCAGAAGGAAAATGGACTTTACCAGATGGAAGGCAGATGCTAAACAAAACATTAACACGAGAAATTTTGTCACTAATGCATCAGAAAACACATTGGGGAACGCAAGCACTTTGTGATCATTTTCTGAGACAATATGGGTGTATAGGAATATACACGGTGGCTAAACAACTAGTTGATCGATGTCTGATTTGTCAAGAAGTGAACAAAAAGGTAATGAGAGGAGAGGTGGCTGGGGGACGGGAGCTAGCCACATGGCCTTTTCAAAGTCTCCAGGTGGACTTCACAGAGCTACCTCAAATACAAAGGTGGAATGTAGAGGCCTGGGCCGTAGAAACACTGTAACTGCCAAAGTAGGACAAAGAGCAAAGAGGGCAGTCAAGATCTGGGTAAGGGTGCATGATGGGAGGCATCATATATTAGCTTAGCTGGCGTGGACAGCGCGTGCAAGATGCATGCAGCCAATTAGGAGTCAGAGAGTCATGCATGCAGCCAATTAGGAGTCAGAGAGTCATGTATGCAGCCAATTAGGAGTCAGGTAGACACATGCACAGAAGCTGGAAATGTATAAGAATCATGCTTTGTATGTAATAAATTGGCTATCAGAGCATCATATTGGTGTGCTGTAGTTCGTTCCTCGCATGGACCCCAACAGTGGAAGTATTTGTTGGTGTTAGTAGATCACTTAACTCATTGGGTGGAAGCAATCCCCATGCCAAGGGCAACCGCGAGCATGGTATCCAAAGTGTTATTGGAAAACATTATCCCCACATATGGATTAATAGAAAGAATTGACTCGGACAGAGGAACACATTTAACTTCAAAAATCATGCAACAACTATCTGAAGCCTTAGGAATTGAATGGGCCTGGCACACCCCATGGCATCCTCAAAGTTCTGCAAGAGTAGAATGAATCAAACTTTAACACAAACCTTGAGTATTTCATGATTGAGACTCAGATGTCTTGGATTAAATGCCTGTCGTTGGCCTTATGAAGGGTCCGTACTCAGCCACAAACGGACCTGGGAATTTCTCCCTATGAGATGACGTTTGGATTACCATAGATGAGTAATGACAGGGATATTGTCACCCTTGAAGTAGGAGACCAGTATGTAAGAAAGTATGTAATAACAATAGCTGATAGCTTAATGAAACTAAGAAAGAAAGGGCTTCTGCCTCAAACACCACCATTGCATTTTAATATCCACAACGTAAAACCAGGTGATTGGGTACTGATCAAAGTGTGGAAAGGACAATCATTAACTCCCGATTGGGAAGGTCCATTTCAGGTGCTGCTGACCACCGAGACAGCGATCCGAACAAAAGAAAAAGGGTGGACTCATGCCTCCCCAGTAAAAGGACCAGTGGAAAAGCCTCAGGAGTGGACTGTGGTACCATCAACGGATCAACTGCGAGTCACCCTCAGAAGGACTAAGTAAATTAGTCGGGGAAAGATTGAAAGACTCTTGACCTGCGGTTTGGACTGGGTTCAGAGGTGACGTTAAGTGTGGGTTTTGTGTGAGTGTGAAACGTGTGACCAGAGGTGGTATTGTATATAACTGTAAAAGGAATTGTGAGTATAAGGAGGGGACACGGATTGTAACCTTGATTTGTGGGAAAAGGAGGTTAGTCCCCAAAATCGAGGATGTCCCTGAGAGTCAGCAGGACACTGTCAGAAAGTGCCAAAAAGGGGCGGGTTGCAAAGGAGCTGCACTTGAAGTAACTTGAAGGGCACCAAGAGAATGAAGGTGTATTTTACAAAAGGGCCTGCAGTTCTCAAGGCAGACAGGCAATCTACTTATTCATTATTTTCGTTTGGCCATCTATTTCTTTCTGGGACACCAGGCTAAAAATATTTTGTTTATTGTTTTCAATATTTGCAAAATATCTGGAGGAGATGGAAGTTGTAGAAACTCTGGAAATGCTGCAGATCAGGCTTAAAATTCTGCTCAGCCATTCCAAATGACAAACCACAGCAAACATATACCTCATAATTCTTGTAAAAGTTAGAATATATAGAAAAAAAAATATATTTTTTTGGCTCTTCCGCAGCCAAACGCCCTCAGGGATGGCTGAAGCAGAAGCGCGACTGCAGGCACCTTCCTGTCCCCCTGGGCCTGCTCCCGCCCAGTGCGCGTGCTCCCTTGTGGCGCCTGCGCAGAACAGGCGGCGCCGCGGCCGTGTGTCAGCGCGACAGTTGCGTGGGAGTCGCTAGCGCTGGGGCGGCTGGCGGCGGGGGTGCGGGCAGGGCCTGGCGCTAGTGGAACGGGAGGTCCGCGGGAGGGCGAGATGGGTGAGTAAGGAGCGGGACGGGGCCGGCGAAGAGAGAGAGAGGGGAAGGAAACGCCGCGCAAGTCCGCGATGGAGGCGGCGGCCCTGACGCTGCTCCCC